GGCGCTTGTGTCTGTCCCATCTGGAGTGTGTGTGTTTATTTGCCTTTTTTTTCCTGCCGATTCTTCTTCCTATTCTTTTCCTTCCTCTGAACGTCCCCACCCTGTCCCCAGCTCCACAGGCCCCACTCCCCTTCTTTTGACTGGGGAGCACCTCAGGATCCATCTTGCCCTCATTGTGACTCCACCACAGGAGCTGACTGTTGTTTCTCTTGGTTCTAACACAGCGTTCCTTTTTCTCTCAGTGGACATTCCTTAAGCTAATCCCTTTCTGAGGCCAGCGCGTCATCCCAGGTCCGCTCCCTGTCCTGAGTCTTCACACAAGTGCCTTCCCTCCCCCTCCCCTGATGTACTGGTTCGTCTCCTTGAGGCCCTGAGCCAGACCCGAATGCGCGAAGCGCCGCGGCCCCTGGCCGGGCAGCAGGCGCTCGGGGCCGGTGGCCGCGTGGGCTCGGGGCTCCCTCCTGCCACTTGCCGCCTTAGTTCTCTTCCTTTCCGGAACCCAGCCGGGCAACTTGGTGTGACGGGAAACAGCCGCCCAGGCTTCCTGGCAGTATACTTGCAGTAGTACATTTACTATTAGCCATAGTGATATATTAAATGGTATACTTGGTAAGACCTTAGGGTCCACCCAAAGAGGGGTTGACTTAAGTACTTTTCTAGACCGTGAAGGTGCCAGCACTTCTCGGGGACCAGGCTTCTGACTGCACTTTAGGGCTGTGGCCTCCCCTGATGCCTCACCTTCTGAAGAAGAGATCTCATTAAATGACACCCAGATGCCCTCTTCCCGCTTGGTACACCCCCTTTGGACTGACCTACCGTCTAACCGTTACAAAGTATGTACAAGCTGGTCTGTAGTTTAAGGCTTTGCCCCAGAAGAGAGATCCCGAAGAGCGAGAGAAAGTCAAACCCTGAGCGATGATGAGATAGTGGCCTTGGGGTCTGTCTTCTACCACATAACAGTCAGCTGGAGTTGAGGAAGCATCGGACCCCCGGTGGAGTTCTGCAGTGTGGGGTAACAGATGGGAAAAGCATGGTCTTTGGAGTCAGGACATACTTGGATTTGGAGCCCAGCTCCGTCATCCATGGGCAGATAAACGTCCTGATCCACAGTGTCCTCATCTGTAAAATGAGGGTGATACTACATCCTGTGCCACATAGATGTGAGGACAAACAAGTAGGATCTGCAGAACTCCCAGTAGGTGCTCACAAGTGGTTGCTGTTAGTACTAGCAATCACCACATACTCTTGGGAGAGCCTGAATCCTGTTTCAAGGAAGAATGCCAACACCTCCCTCCCAAGGACAGTTCTGAGGGGAGCTTTGCGCCCGTGCCAGCCCTCTGCGCCGGAGGAGGATGCATGGAAGGGTAGAGAGCTGACGGGCTGAGGGGGGGGCCCCTGGGGCACAGTGTCCTACAAGCACTGCCCTGGGCAGAGGGTGTGGGCAGGCAGCCCAGGCCAGCAGAGGGGCCTTTGCGTTGGCTTTGACGGTTAAAACTAACACCTTCCTTTCTCTCCCATGCTTTCTCCTCCGGCCAGGAGCGGAAGGTACATGCCCTTTCTGCCGTCTTCGCTTCTTAGCGCTTTTGAGTTGTGTGTGTGTGTGTATTCTTCCATCCTCCCTGTGGGAAATAGGTTTTCTGTGTGGGTGGGGCTGTAGCTGGGAGAGTGGGCTTTGCGGGGCAGTGGGGGAGCCTCTGGGCCTTACCCCCTCCCTCCCTCCCTCCCTCCCTCCCTCTCTTGCAGGTTTTCATAGAGCTGAATCACATTAAAAAGTGCAATACAGTTCGAGGCGTCTTTGTCCTGGAGGAATTTGGTAATTACACTATTTTGCTCTTAGGTCTGGACTCACATGGCAGTAACTCAAACCTCGGAGCTCCAGAGGAGGGACTAGAGGCAGAGAAGAGCCTCTGCAGAGAGGTCAGGAGAAGCAGGAGTGATAGGGAGGACGAGGGAGCCCTGATCTGAGAGAAGGGAGGCGAAGGGAAAGCTAGTCGGTCGGTGGCTGCCTGAGAGCGGCCCGAAGAGCAGTGGCTTAGACGCCGGGCTTAGAGGTGAGCGCTGGCACTGAAGAGGCTCCTGGAAGCAGCGCCACCTTCCCTTGTTTGGCCAGCTGGTGGGGCAGAGCAGACGAGCCATTCCCCAGCTCTGCTGTGTTCATGTCTGTCTGCCTGCCTCGGTCCCTCTAGCAGCCCAGTGCTCTGTCCAGCCACCCTGGGGCCACGCCAGGGTCCATCGAGCCTCTGGGCTGCAGGAGGGCGTGCGGCGGTGCAGGCAGGCTCACTCTAGGGGGCAGGCAAGCCTAGTGGCCTCAGAGGCAGAGGGCAGTGGTAGCTGGAAGCCGGGAGCTAGGCTCCCCCCCCAGCCAAGCGCTGACTGAGTGGTGTCTGGGTTCTCACCCCTGGGGCTTTGAGTTCCTGCTGTGTTTGTGCTTCATTCTTCCGTGCCCCTCATCGCTGCTATGAAAATCTTCGTTCTCCAGCAGGTAAAGTGACCTCGCCGTGCTGCCTCTCCCCAGGCCCCTGCCTTGGGCCCTGCGGTGGGTGGGCAGGCTCCCCTCGCCCAAGCCAGCTGCTCGCATCACCAACTTGTCTCTTCCCTTCTCTCCCCACCCTCTTCCTTCCCAACCTCCTCCACCCTCGCGCTGGCCCGTGTGCTCCTTTCTCTCTTCTGCCAGAGAGACGTTTGGGGGAGTCTTCCAACTCAGGAGAAGGACCTGGGCTCATTGCTCTACCTTTGATGAGTTTATTCCCTGTTAACCCTGGGGCCCCCTGAATTCTACCTCCCAGGGTCAGAAGAAGGTGTGGCCAACTCTCATCCTACCTTTTCTGGCCCCCAGGGGATGCCACGCCCCCTGCTCCCAGTCTCCAGGGGCCATGATGATGGCTGAGGCTGGGGGACCTTACTCCTTCCTCTGGCCAAGCAGAACCCCTGCATGGCTGGGGCAGGGCTGACTCTTAGTCTTGCATTCCGGGCTGTGGACACGTGTGTATTTTGCCTGATGCTCCCTGTCACCTCCCTCCCCGGGTGCTGTACTCACCTGTCTCTTCTGCTCGGTGTGTCTGCTCCAGAGCCCTCTGACGCTCTCCCTCACACAGGCAGGCCGGGGCCTCTCCTGCCATCAGGGAAGGAAACTTCCAAGTCTGGTGGGTTTAGTATCATGCCATTTCTTCATCCAGCCTCAGGACCCTCAGTGCAGGGGCTGGGAGTACAGGGAACGTGTTTAACTTGACCAGAGCATGGGGCTGGTGACAGGGGTGAGTTCTCGGGTGTCTCAGCAAGGTGAGGCACAGGCTAGAGGCAGTGCTTTCCTCCCAGCCAAAACCTGGGAATATCAGCTGTGGTCCTCGGGCCCTGGATGGTAGCAGCGACCAGGCTGGTGAGAGACTAGCCTGCTCCTGTGCTGGGGCTCTCAAAGTCGGTAGAGTCATGGCCATGGAGCCAGGAGCCACTGCAGACCTCAGATGTCAGGCTGAGGAGTCGGGGCCAGTGTCCTCTCACCCGGCCGGGGCTGAGTGAGGCCCACAGGGGAAGGGGACCCTGGTGCCGGGCGCTGCCGCCTGGGGGAGTGTGGCGCTATTGCTCTTAGTTTTGAACTTTCTGTTTTGTCTCTTGCCCGTCCGGTTTTAGTTCCTGAAATTAAAGAAGTGGTGAGCCACAAGTACAAGACACCGATGGTGAGTGTGCCGACAGGCCAGTCTGCGAAGGGCTCCCTGGGGGCGTTCCAGCAGGAGTGGGGTGGGCTTCTGAGAGCACAGGGTGAGGGGCAATTAAGAATGGTTGAGAAGAGAATTTAGTCTAGATGCCAGAGATTCAGCTGGAGCTGAAGCAGGTCTTCAGCCTGGGAGAGGCACACATGCTGATCCCGCCCCACGGGCCAGCTCTGGGGCCTCGCTTGGGGCCCTTTAGTCTGGAGACCTGAGCCCAGAGTTAGGGCAGGAGATTCCCAGTTGGCAGATCTCCACGTGTGAAGACGTAGGAATCTGCGTGACGCTGATCTGGCTGGTTTTCTCTCCTCCAGGCCCACGAGATCTGCTACTCTGTGTTGTGTCTCTTCTCATACGTGGCTGCTGTTCGTAGCAGTGAGGAAGATCTCAGAACCCCACCCCGGCCCGTCTCTAGCTGATGGAGAGGGGTTAAGGCTGCCCCAGCCCAGGGGCCGTCCCTTGCCTCTCGCTGTTCCCAAGTGCACGATGCTGCTGTGACTGCGAAGTGGGTGATGCGTGTGTGTTCTCTGCAAGCCCCCTCGCTGAGGCTTAGATGGGTCCCAGTTCTGTGTGTCTCAGTGTCTTAGTGTGTCTCACAGGGCTGAGCCAGTCTCTTCCAGCTTCTTCCTCTCCACCCCCAAAAGACCATCCTCCTGTCCCCTCGGGGCTCAAAAGTACGTGTGTGTGTGTGTGTGTGTGTGTGTGTGTGTCTGTCTGTCTGTCTGTCTGTCTGTCGGGCCAGTGGCTTCTAAGAACTCGGAGTACAGGCAAGTGCGAGCCCACTATTACATGTCATTGAGACATTTGTGTTGTAGTTTCTCATCCTTGACATTATAACCTTCCAGAGCAGGACTTGGGCTCTCCGTCCTCTGTGATCCGACACCACTAGGTGCCTGGAGCAATCCCACTGTGGGGAGTTGAGGGAAGCTTGAGGCTTGTCCCCCCAGACGAGGGGTGGGTGGGGAAAGGAAGGGGGGAGTCAAGGGGCAGCAGAGCGAGTGGCGACCTCCCTGCTTCCTTAGTTCCTCCCCGGAACTTCCAGGCAGTTCCCAAGCTGGCAGCGACTGCCCCTGGGCACAGGCCTGGCTGCTGCTACCACGGTCTCCACTACTGCAGTGGGGCTGCACTGACCGGCTGCTGTTTGCTGAGCAGCAGTTTCCTTGTGGTCTGCCTGGCCTTCGGCAGGGGAGAGCAAAATGACTGGGGCTGGGAGAGTCCCAGGGACCACAGGCTGCCACGCCCAGGAACCTGGTGGTGTGGGGAGAGGCCAAGTTCAGTATCCACCTCTGTGTCTGCGGGTAGCATCGCAGCACTGGCTGCCAGAGGGAGAGAGAGCCTGGGAGCGGGCAAGAGATGACTGTAAATATTTCAGCTCCACATTATTTATAGAAAATGTACAGATGTGTGAATGTGAAATAAAGGTCCTTAACTCCCCTTGGGCTCCTGGCTGCCATGCGTTAAATGACGCCTTCTCTTGGGCTGAGGAAGGCTGACCCTGGACTCGAAAAACGCACCTTTGGCCTGAAGGAATCAGGGAGGTGAGAGGTGAGATTGTGCCCATCCAGTCTGGCGTGCTGAAGGCCCCACTTCCCACCCCTCTGGCCCAGCGGAGCTCACCGGCTTCCTGTGCTCTCAGAGGGGCCCCATCAGAGGGCTGCTGTGCTATGAGTTGGTCGCTAGAGGGAGCAGCCAAACAGGGCTTGACACCTAAGTAGAGATTAATTTAGTAGTAAAGGAAAAACCAAGGCCCGGGCTCTCAGCTCCCATGCCCTTTACAGGTGTGCTCCAGAGACCTTTTGTGACTCGGCCAGAGCCTCCCACGGGGCCTGGAGCCCAGGGCTCTGGGCTCTTGGCCAGGAGTGTCTCGGGTTTGGGTAGAACTCCGAGAAGCAACCTTGGACCAGCCTTCATGGAACTTCTTTCTATGCCATGGAGAAACCACTCCCTGGGCGGGAAGGACCCTTTTCACTCTATCAATCAGGGCACCTCTGAGCGCTGCTGGCTTCCTCCTCCCAAAAGCAAACTGGTGATGGGATTTTGGCTCCCCATGGGGGAAGGAAGAGCAGAGTAGGGCCCTGGCCCCTACACCTTCCTGGTTCCCAGTGCCTTGTCTAGACAGGATCACTCTCTTCCTGTGCGATATGGGTGTGAATGGGCAGTGGGCTTTTTGCCCACCGGGACCCCAAAGCAGCTGGTACACTTTCACTCCAAGCCCTTATGGGCACAGAACCACACTGATATTATTAGCACTGCCCCCCCATCCAGGCTGCTGTGACCATGGGTCACCAGGACAAGGATGGGAGAGCCTGGGGATTCTGGCTCTTTTGCTAATAATACACTTTGCTCTGTCACAGCTCCTCAGTTTCCTCATTGGAAGGTTGGGAAGACTGAGGTTCCTTCTAGTATTAATGTTTTATGAACTTAGGATCCCACTCTGGTCCTCATTTAATTCATCTATAGGAGAAAGAACACCTGCCTTCCGTTTGCTCTCAAGACCAAGTAAATTTTCCCGTGCTCTTTCTGAAAACAAGCATCTTGGACAAGAAGAGGCAGTTCTGTGTGATTGCACTGATCTTTTATTGCCCTCATACACTGAGAAAACACGGCAGGCCAGAGAGGCCTGTCTCCAGCCATCATTTCCTGAGCCCGCACACCTTTCGCCCCAAGGATCTGAGGAGCTTCCAGATGGAGCCCTGACAGGTTAGCCTGTGCGGAGTGCCCCCCGTGCCTGCTCATCACAATTACGCTGCCCTCCTGGGGCTCCCCCAGCCCAGCTCCAACACACACACTTGCACACACATCCAACAGCAGAAGGTGGCTTGTCCAACTTCCCTCCAGGCTCCTGGTACATGGGTTGGCTCCAGTTGCACCTGTGACACAGGCTCCCTTGTGAATGAGCTGGACTGAAATCCTACTAAGAGCCACCTGCACCCCCATTTCCTGCTGGCTTCCCCTGGACCAAGGGCCGGGGCTCAGCCTTTGATTTGGGCCCTGGGTATCAGGGTGATGTGGAGTACATACCTGGCCATCCCCAGGGAGCCAGCCTGGTCACTGAGGCACTGCAGGAGAGAAGGGGGCCATGCCATGCATGTGTTAAACCTCCCAGCACTACATGTGTCCGTCCACCCCCCTCCCCCCACCGCCACACCCCCAGCCTTCGGGAAGGCTCAGGCAAGCAGCTCTGGCAACAAAGTCCAGAAGCCAACACCATCTGGACACGACAGGGTCATTGCTCTTTCAGCCACAGCGGCTGCTTGGGCCAGGACAGCAAAGCGAAAGCCCAGGGTCCCAGCTGGCACCCGGCCTTTGCCACCACCCCAGGCCCTAGCCCAGGGGGTTCCTCACCTCGCACTTCCAGGCGGCACTCACACTGTGCCTCGCCTTGCAAGTTGGTGGCCCTGCAGACATAGACACCCCCGTCGAAGGGGCAAGGCTTTCTAATCTCCAAGGTCAACACTCCCTGCTTGCTGAACATGCGGAAGCGGGCGTCTTTGCCCAGGTCCAGGCCATTCTTGAACCAGGAAATTTTGGGCTGTAGATGGGAAGGAGGGAGGTCTCTCAGGTTGAGAGAGGACCTGGCAGGAACCTAGGGAGACTAGGCACTTGTGTTTCTACTCTGGGGATCCCACTGGAGTCCCAAACTATGCCCAGGGCCGAGTATGAACAGGGAGCCAATGAGGAATGCCAAGGCCCTATTCAGGGAGGGCCCTGATACCCAAAAGTGGAGAGAAAACGGGGGACAGGCTGCGGGGAGGACTGCTTGGGGCGGGGGCCTACGAGCCAGGCCTCCTGGGTCGGCCTGGACCAGGGCCCAAAGCTCCCTACCTCGGGGCTACCCCGGACAGCACAGCAGAGGGTAGTGTTGTAGCCGGCAATGACCGAACGGTTCACCAGGGGGCGGGTGAAGCTTGGGGCCTCAGAGAAGTCCAGGGCCTTGTAGTTGGGTGACTCATACGTGATGCCTGTTGGTGACAGATCTTGGTACCAAGAGGGCCACACCTAGCCAGGCTCGCCTCCCTGCCCCAGCCCCTGCCCGCGGTGGGTGGGAGTGAAGGTACAGCACCTGGTCTAGGGATAAAGACAGGCTCCTTGGTGGTGGCGGCTCGGTCACTGGGCCCCACCATGTTATGGCTGAAGACCCGGAAGTAGTAGCCATTGCCAACGATGAGCTCTGACACCACACAGTGGGTGCGGCGGTAGTGCTCCAAGACGGTGAACCACTCCTGGGGTGTGGAGGAAAGGTAGGGGGTTCTCTGGGGCAGGCCCTACTTCCTGCCAGGGGCCTCTCTTGGGTACCCCTGGGGTCAGCACCTTCCCTGTGGAGGGAACCAGTCTAAGGATACCGGGGAGGGGCAGCTGGGGCCCAGGTCTGCCTGGACCCAGAGAGGGTGCGTGCGGGGGTCCCAGGCCCCTGGGCTCACCATGCTCTTCTTGTCAGCTTTCTGAATCGTGTAGCCCCAGAGCTCTGTGTTGCCGTCATCTTGGGGTGGCTTCCACTCCAGAGCCACATTGAAACCCCATGCCTCAGTGACCCGGATATCCTGGGGAGGACTTGGCTTGTCTGCAGGAGACAGACCCAGTGGGAAGCCCAAACCTCCTGACATCGCCTGAGTGTGAGTAGGGGACGCCAGGCTCCAGGGGCCCCCTCGCCCCTGCCAGGACCTGACCTGCCATCTTCTGCAGGGGCTCTGGGCATCCCAGAGGAGGGGCCCCAGGCCTGGAAGACGAGAAGCTCCAGGTTGAGCCCTGGGCCCTGGCAGCCCAGCTCAGGGACTGAAAATGCTCGGACTCAGAGGGAAGCCCCAACGCCACGTACCAACGACCTGCAGGACCAGCTCGGCCTTGTCCTCCATGCTCTCGATGCGCAGAGTCACCTGGTAGGTGCCCGAGTGGGCGAGGTGTGCGGCCCGGATGAACAGGATGGTGTCCGTGGGGCTGTTGCGGATGCTCACCTCCTTGCCTGCCAGTGGCTGTCCCTCTTTGGTCCAGATCACCTGAGGCCGGGGCTTGCCCTGTGCAGGAGGACAGCTCACTCCCGAGCCTGGCTCTCCCTATCGGCCACTGCCCCAGCCTCGCTGAGACATCTGTCTGCTGGGCGTGGACAACACACGCACGGCGGGGCAGGGAAGGGGGCCAGCCCTACCTGGAAAGGAATGAGGAGGTTCACGGGCTCTCCAACCTTCTTCTGGATGGTCTGGCGAAGATGTCTGGGTAGCTGGAGCCGTGGCCGCTCTGTGGGTACGAGTGAGGGGCTCGGCGGGGGCCCCCACAGCCGCAGGCCCAAGGAGCGCCACAGCGCCCTCCACTGGACGCAGGGCCTGGAGAGCCGCAACTAGGAAACATGCCGCCTGCCGGGCCCTCCTCTCCTTTAGCTCCCCAACCCCAGCCCCAAAGCTCCTGCTTCCACCCGAGCCTCTCC